ATTTATTTTCTCATCTTGACCACATTTCTCCTTGGCCCATCTCATATTGTTAGTCGTGTTGGTCGACATAAACAACTTGTACAATCTCAATTTTAAGGAGAAGTAGCGCAACATCTCTCGGGAGATGTTCTTACTTTACCATGTTCGTACTTGCCCCTAAACTTGTCACATTCGGGGCATTTGTTCGCAATTTCATACTCGTATGGAAAATATAACCAAGGCCCAAGTTTCTTTGCCATATTCATTCCTCCACCTTGACTAGTCACATTTGGGGCATTCTTTTGCAGCTTCATACTCCTTTCAAAATAGTATATAATAATTTATAGAAAATATAACTGAGGCCCAAGTTTTGTAGTAAAATTTTTGCCTCCTAATAGGACTTAGGTAATACATCCGTAGAAGGCAGTGATGTTTTGATTAAGTAAATCACCATATTCACTGATTTGCTACTACAATGATTTAGCGTCTTCAAATGAAGGAATTGCACCAAGAAACTCAACTCTCACAACCTACATAAACTAAACATAATGCATCATCCTTCAACAATCTGTCAAAATTTCCACCAAACTAAAGATACCCTCCAACAACCGTATTCATAAATGTTCCCACAGCCACATCCCCTATGACTTGTTGATCAACCTCATCAATATCTTCATCCCTATAATCCAGTAAATATTTATTAGTATATATATTTAAGATATCTCTTGGTTGAAAATCTTCTCCATGATGTACACCTTAAGTGTAACTTGGATCAATCCCAACTAATACAAATCATCTTATACCTCATCTACAATCTTATATAGCATGTCCATGAGGTACACCCTAAGTGTAACTTGGATCAATCCCAACTAATACAAATAATCTTCTACCTCATCTACAATCTTGTATAGCATGTTCTTAAACTTACAACATGGACACTGAATCCTATTAGCTCCACGATGCGTAGTAGTCATAATGTTTTCAACCCTTTCCTCATACTCTGACCTAAATCATGGGCAGAGATAGTCATGGGCCAGGGGCACTGGCCCACCGTGGGAAAAAATCTCTATTTTATTACTTATATGTGTGATAAATGTTCTATGAGTTATCTCACTGTTGGTGCCCACCCATGAGTCCATGCCTCAACTATACTTAGTGGTGTCCGCACTCATAATCCATGGAAACTCTATTTATTCATCTTATTCACAAACACCTCTTACATCACCATAAAAATTAACCGGCACTTTGAGACGGAGACAATGGAGAAACAACAATGCCAAGATGGTAAGTGCAACTCTTTAGTAATTGCGATCCGGTGTCTTTTTTATAAAGAGGTTAATTGTGAAGGGTTATAATTAGTCACATTTTTTTTTGTAAAATGGGGCAAGTAAATTTTTTTTGTTGTTTTTTATTACACCTAAAGTTTTAGGAATTAAATATGATTTTCAAAATCTCCTTTGTATCCTTGGCTCTAGTTGGTTGGAATGAAAAAGATATAATTTTTGGGTTAAGTGCTCACCCTCGTAATAATTCCTAGCTCCACCCCCAAATGCACCATTGTGTAAACTATAGAAAAAATACTTACTATTACAATCCGAGTACAATATCAACAATGAAAGAATTGTAGTGAACACTAAATTAGAGAGACATACATGAAGGAAAGAATTGTTGTGATTCTAAACAAAAAATTTTAAATGGAAGAGAGAAAATTACTATGAGCACTAAACAATAGTACACCAATTTATCACTATCCTAGTAAATAAGCTTTCAACCCAATAGAAATTTTCATGTTTCTAGCTGTCCATGTTTTATAAAAAAAGTACCAACAACTAGAATAATCTAGCAATTGATAGTACTACATAATGAAGAAATAATTATAATTATTGATTATGTATACATTTATCACTAAGTAGGTAAAAAATTAACATGCAAAATTGATTTTGAAGGTTTAAATTGGTTTATAAAAAGTAGTGCAATAAAATTAAAAGAGATTTATCAATTGAAAAATGACTATTTAGTTTTGGGATCTGGATTTATTTTGTCCACCAAATATCTATGTTTATGCAAGTTATTGAAAACACTAGATTTGATTGATTTGAAAATAAAAATTGAAGAACTAGTTCTATAAAACTAGCAGAGAATTATAAGTATTATCCATACCCAAAACTCAATAAAGTTAATAAACAATCAAATAATTGTACATAGTATAAAATTTTACTAAAAATCATTCAATCAATCTTTAATTTAAGAAAGAAAATAAAAATTAAAGAATAAAGAAAAATAATTGCATAACATGAATATTTGTATCACAATCCTAGATCCATATCCTAACTAAAGAGTACAAATAGATTACTCACAAGACATGATGAATCTCCAAAAAATAGAAATAATTATTAAAAGGCTAGAAAAGAGGATCCGGTCTCAATAGAGGGGAAGAGATATTTATACTAAATGCTAGGTCTAGGTCAATAAGTAGGAGTCTTCTCGAATTAGGAAGTCTAACGATGTTAAGTCTCATAGCCAGGATCAAGAGGCTCGTCCGAATAGTAATCCTTGCTTTCGGACGATTAAAGATCCCTAGAATTTGCAAACAATCAGTAGTGTCTGAAAAGTGATACTTGCGTCTGGATGGTGCATTAACGCACCGTCAATTAAGTATTCACACGGTCTTCTAAGTGTCCAAACACCGTAAACTCTCTAGAATTTTTTTAAGTTAATTAAGTACTTCTGTCCCGACCATATTTGTTAAACAAAGCATCTAATCATCACTAATCATTGCGTCTAAACGGTTCTAGTTATCTAGCTCTTCTTGTTTTCTGTACTCCAACAATCTGGGACGGGTACGAATCTTCATGGGTATCCAATTTTACTCCAAAACAAGACCCATTACTCCATATTACTCATGCGTCCACTTTGCTCGTCCTTAGTCATTCAATTTACCAAGCATGATAAATAATAACTCCAATTCAACTTTTTACATGGTAAATAGATCAAACACTAAAAATAAGAGTCAAAATAGAGACACCCTATAAGTTACCACATATAAACTCAAACATTATGCAGTTAGACATTCATTAAAGATAATATATTACGGCGTTTGATGACTAATCAGATGGCACGATTGAATACATATCAAAATGATCTTCTATTTTAGAATAAAATAAAAATAAGTAAATAACTAAGCAGAATTGAAGTGGTGTGCAAGTGTTCGTGTGTGTGAAAGGAAAGTCGTCCAAATAAATATATCCAAAAATAGAAAGATTTTATCCTAAAACTATCTCTTTCTACATTCAATTTTCTTTTTGGAGCTAACAAATAAGAATGTTCGATTGATTTGAAGCACAAAAACAACATTGACAATGTATTTTGCGAATGACATTCTCAAAAGCTATTGAAATTCTACAAAATAACAAAATATATATATATATATATATAGATTAAACTCTACTTCAATTTTCTAAATGCAATGCCAAGAAAACTATAGAGATAAATTTAGGAGGTCCCTCAAATAAATATAGTTGGAAAGAGAGAGGAAATGGTGGAGAGAAAAAGAGAGAGAGTGACTAATTGTGCGATTTTTTGTGTGCAGTGTTTTGTTTTTGGGTATGTGTGTGCATTTGAGAACAGAGATTGGGAGGGGGAGCAAAGAGAGATTGGCACCTGATCTTTACAATGGTGGTTCCCACAGCTACTATTAATGGCGATTCGAATATAAAATATTGTACTATTATATCAAATATATATTTTTATATAATTTTATTTAAAATAATTTATTTTTTATTTTGAATTTGTTATTATATGCATAAAATCACTGAACACTGTTTTCATTACAGTATATTGTTACACTGCTTTGTTACAGTGTATTGTTACACTGTTTTTATTATACTATTATGAAATTCGGATATTAATAAATTTTAAAATTCAAACAAGTGATATATCATAAAATAAACAAAATATTAAAGTTCTTCTATAAAACTAGTAGTAGTAAATATTTAATGTATAAATATAATTTGAAAATAAAACCACTTTAAAAAAAAAAATATGTATGAATCAAAGTATATTAAAGATAAGAGATTTTAAATTATCTAATATTTGTGATTGATTAGATTAGCAAATAAAATCGAAGTAATATTATCTGTACATTTATAGAGAGGGAGGTGAGATGCTAGTTATATATTTCTATGGTTTTTTTTATATCTATATAATAAAACACATAACAACTTGAATTTTTATCTCTTACATATTTCTCTCCTTAAAGACATGACATCATTCATTTCTATCACATGTTTAATCATTTATATATTTTTTCTTAAAAATATCACATTATTCATTTTTATCATATATTTAATCATTTAATATTTGATTAATTTGTAGTTAATATAATTTTTATTTCAAACATTATTCATATATAACAATATACATATGTTGAAAAAATTTAATAAAATATGATCGATTTTTTGAACGCTTGAATTTAATATTTTATCGTACNCATATGTTGAAAAAATTTAATAAAATATGATCGATTTTTTGAACGCTTGAATTTTATATTTTATCGTACCGAGTTATTAAAAATTTATAAATATGATATGATTTTCGTTGAGAGAGAGATGTTGGCAGCCAATACTTGTGGGCCTTTGTATTTTCTAACCTTTGGCCCACAATACTGACAAATCACTTAACATTTGAAATTAATCTTTTAATATATTGGATCACACTGCACACAACTTCACATTTTTTGGGGCCTTAATTTATCCTACTTGGGGTCCCTCCTTAACTAGGGATCCTAGGAGGCAGACTCACTTGTGTTGCCTTTGGGCCTACTTTGGTGCTGATCCAGAGATCGAATATTGTATTAACAAACAAAAGATGGAATTCTGTAGTTGGCTCAATGTCAATGACTATTCATCCGTAATGGTTCATGGGTTCAAATCTAGTTTGACCCCTCCCCGTTTTAAATACTCATCCAAAATATAAAAAATCAACACACGATGGAATACACCTCCATAGATACTTCAAAGTATATCATTTATATATATAGACTTCAAAGTATGTAGAATCCCAAACAATAATTTGTGCTAAAGAGAAAACCAGACTCTTCCTCTTAATCAGAACTTTCAATCTCAAAGACCAACAATTCGTATTGACACCCCTCATAAATTTATGTACATCAACCCATATAATCTTAGAACAAAACCATAAATGTCTAAGCAGCAGAGGGGGCAGTAACATAGTAAACAACACCACCCTCCGAAAGCACCGCCGTAAATTTGTTCACATCTTCAGCTGCTGCATTGGTCCTCTTGTAGTCTAGTGACTCATCGTTGTATATATCCCTCCACTGCTTCACCAACATTTTAATGTCTTCCCTATCCATGTTCTCTTCTTCGCCAGTGTACCTCCATGGCTTTGAACCCGCAGCACAGTAGTGAACAACTTTCACTTTTTCAAG